GGCGGAGCTTATCCATGGTTGCAAATGGAAGTTTCAGAGGACGTCCTGTCCTGGCACTATTGGCGAAATACACACGGCAGGTAACTGGTTTTCATAACAACAAAGCAATTTTCACTCTGGAAATCAGAAACAGGAGCACTTCTGCCGGAAACGTCTCTCTAGGCAATTACTTCTCTCACTCATCCCAAGAGCAAGCTCGAAGTTACAATCTTAGCCCCAAAGTAAGTAAGTCCACCCAGTGATTCCAAGAGTAAGCGAGTAAAGTCTCTCGCCTCTTAGTCAAAACGCGGCCGGGGAGCATGGTTGCCGCTCCTCGCCAGAAAAACGTCTCTCTTCGTTAATTACATCGTTTCTAACGCTCAAACCAAGAGCAAGTTTCAAGAGTAACGTCCAAAAGTAAGTTCCTCCGCACAAAATTCATTCCAAGAGTAAGTGAGTAAAGTCTTTTAAATCTTTCAGCAAATACTCATACCTCTTCAATCTCGCCTCTTAGTCAAAACGCGGCCGGGGAGCATCTCTCTTCGTAAATTACATCGTTTCTAACGCTCAACCCCAGAGCAAGTTTCAAGAGTAACATCCATACAGTAAGTCTCGCACGAAAAAGTGATTCAAACTTGAATTTTCTTCCTCTCCTTCACAAACGCGGGCTCCCACTATGGCTTCAATTATCGCCCCCTTAATTTTGGCAAAATTTGCGTTTTCAACCCCTGAATGCGGAAATAAGGGTGATCGCGCATGCGCGCCCTTCTTCACTTAGCCAACAACCGGACCCTCAATCGCCAAAACCTGAATGACTTACATCGAAGGTTAAGTGGCAACCTCTGACCCTTCTGTCACGTACTTCCTGTCCTAAGGTCAACTGCACAATGAAATTTCTTCTAGAACATTCTAAAGGACAAGCGCGCGAAATCATGACTTAGCAAAATTGCCTCCCTTTCCCTGCTTCTTTTCACAATGAATCAAAGCTTGTACAAAAATTGCAAATAAAAGAAAAATAATTAATATTCTTTTAAACTAAATAATATTCCCAGAAGCATCTGTTTTTCCCCAAAATTAAAGCATTAAAATAAATAATTCAGAATCAAATAAAAATAAGATTTCCTTAAATCAGAAAATCATTCATTTAGTGTTTATAACGCGATCAGACAATTTCTCTACACAACAGTTCTACCAACTATTGATTTTGAATAAAGTTAGTTTTTCTTTTCTATCACAGGTGTCCAAATACTTATTGGTAGTCAGTGTATATTCTGGGTTAAATGTCTGGGTTGAATCCTAAAAAATATGGTAAGCATAGTTAGAGCAGGTTGAAAAATTGCTTTTGATCTGGCAGAAAAAAATTTCAATTCAGTATCCTGCTTCATTTACGTACAGCAAGGATGTTAAACTCGCGGCCCACAACAAATATTTTTGCGGCCCGGGCAATATATCGGCAAATAATAATATATAATAATAAAATAACATATCAACGAAGAAAAAAATGAAATGTTTACTGCTAAGTAATTAACGATAATTTATTCAGTGTTGTTAGATTACTCACAGCAAGCTGACACACACACTACTTAAATTACAAATGCGTGTGACTAGCTTGCGTTCAGCTACCTTCGGCTTTTGGGGGACACGTGCACTCAGAACTTGTACGCATCCTCCGATAGCCGAATGTGGCCGAACTCATGGTCTCAGTATTCCAATCATAGTTTTGTACGATATATCGGTGCATGCATGTGCATTCACTTTGCTTTATTATTAATTATTACTTAATTCATATTGTTACGGATTTCATAGTTATTTATTTATTTAGTTTTTTTTTATTTAGAATTGTAATTAGATTTGCTTCATGTTGCCTTAGCAACGCAGACGATTTTTGAAAAAGACAGCTGCGTTGGAAGGTTAAAATAGAACAGCGCGTGCATTTAATAATACCTAATAAATAAATATCTCGTAATTGCTGTTGCCATCCACAAAAATCCAGATATTTATAGATGTTCTCCAGTATATTCGAGAATTAATTATAAAGCTTATAAAAGTCGAGAACAAACAACTCATCTCAGTAGTAGCTGTAGTTCTAGCGAACTGTTTGTTTACTTAATGCTGTATTGATTTGTAGCGATTTCGCTGTGAGATAGAAGTTAGTTTCTCTGTTTTGAATTGATTTTGCTAAACGTTTTGACATTTTGTGATATTGTTAGAATTATTTTTGAAGAAATATTTCAGCATTTTGATTTATCTCTTGTGGAAAGAATAAATTTTGTTAACTTTTTAACGTTACCGTGTTTATTTTATTTTTTCCAGCCCTTTGTATTCAGTATGTCTATATCAAAACTAAGTGGTAGTAAAATTAAACGAAAAATCGCTGATGAACATAGAATATTCCAAGTGAAATGGGAATTAGAATATTTTTTCTGTGAAATAAAATATAAAATAATCTGCTTGATATGTAATAATGCTATTAATGTACCAAAGTTATATAATATTAAACGTCATTACGAACAACACAAATCGAATTATAACAATTACGAAAGATTAATGAGAGAAGAAAAGTTGAAAGAGCTCAAGTTAGGAGTGAAAAAGCAACAGTCCATGTTTAGTAAAGTATTGCAAGAAAGTGAAGCGGCGGTACTTGCAAGTTACGTCTTGTCCGAGTTGATAGCTAAACATTCGAATCCTTTTACTGACGGTGATTTCATCAAGGAATGCCTAATGAAAGCTGGAGAAATTGTTTGTCCTGGAAATGTGAAGGCTTTTCAATAAATTTCATTGTCTCGAAATACAGTTGCGGAAAGAGTTACTGATTTAGCCGCGAATTTAAGTGATCAGATCAAAGCAAAATCATCTAGTTTCGAAAGTTTCTCCATTGCCTGTGACGAGAGCACTGACATTAGTGGCAAGCTCAATTAGCAGTGTTTCTTCGTTCTTGTGTGACAAGAATTTTAACATTTTTGAGGAATTACTGGAACTAATACCGATGCCTGGTACTACCACAAGAAAGATATATTTACTTGTGTTTTTGGACTTCTGCAGAATACAATCTACCTTGGCAAAATTAAATTCTGTACTACAGATGGCGCTCCATCAATGAACGGGAAAAACAAGGGCTTCGTAGCATTACTAAGAAAAAACTTAGTGAAATTCACGTTCAAACATTCATCATATGCATTGTATTATACCTCAAGAAGTTCTATGCACGAAAGTAATAAATATGGAGAATGTTTTGTCATATATAAAAAAGTCATAAATTTTATAAGATCTCGAGTTTAAATAGTGTCAATTCAACTGCTTTCTTAAGTGAGTTAGATAGTGAATATTCGAGTTTGTCCTACTATACGAGGTACGTTTGTTATCTTGCTCCAGATTCTCAAACAATTCTGGGATTTGAAAGAAGAAATATTTAGTTTTTAAAACGAAAAATCAAGACGTAAGTTTGTTTTACGATCCAATATGGATACAAGATTTATCTTTCTTGGTTGATATACCCAAACACTTAACCGATTTAAATTTATCGTTACAAGGAAAAGATCATATCATTACGAACATTTTGACATAATTAACATTCAAATGTCAACTAGTTCTTTGGGAAAACAACTTAAAAATAAGACTTGACGCACTTCCCGACGTGCAGCATGAACAAATCAAGTTTAAATGATACTTGTTCGTATCAAAAATACGCAGAAAAAATTGCAAATTTAACAACTGAATTTGAAACGAGGTTTAATGATTTTAGTTCCCTCGAAGATAATTTTTTTTTTTTTTTTTTCTTCGATTTTCTCTATAAGTATTGACTCAGTACCCAGCCATATGCAAATGGAGGTGATCGAGATTCAATACAACTCAGATTTGAAAGCAAAATGTGGAAAGCAAAATTGAAGTGGGCGTGCCTGAATTTTACAAATATTTACCAGCCAGGTTTGAAAATACTCGAAAATTCGCATATGAAATTATTTCCATGTTTGGTAGCACTTATCGGTGCTAGCAGTTATTTTCAGTCATGAAAGGTAATAAGTCTCCTGTTAGAAACCGTATTAATGATGCTCACCTTGGGTCAGCGTTTAAAGTTATCATTGCAAACAAAATTTCTCCCGAAATAGGAAAGATTATAGCAGAATATCCCGAAATAGCGATGTCAAGTATCAGGACGTAAACATTAAATTTTTCTTGTTCTTTTCTATATAAATATATATATATGTTTATTATTGTATTATTCGAAATAAATCTATGTTTCTATGAATATTGATTTTTTTTTTTTTTTGGCAGCCCGCCTAAAGTTAAACCTTGTTTGTTTGCCCCAAGTCTACCTATGAGTTTGACATCCCTGATGTACAGCATAAATTTCACCCATCAATCTGCATTTTAGTATTAAATAGTGTTATAACAACAAAAATGGGATCTGTTTTAATAAGAAGATATTCATTTTCTATTTATTTCTTATTGAAAAAGGAAATTTAGTATACATTCAAAGATCTGGAATGGATTAATGATGTCCTTATCTTACCTTAAACTTAAATTTCAACATATCATATTTCAAATATCAGCAAGTGGCAGTGTTTTGATTGTAATCACAAGTGGTGCCTTCCGTTCAATTTTAACAGTTAAATAAAAGTTGTAACATTTCTGAGGAGTGAAAACTCGCTTATCAGTCTAACAGGGCTGAAGGACTTAATTTCCATACAATTAAGATCCTATAGTATCCTAGAACAAAACATTCATCTAAATCAACCCTGTCAAACTCAGAGAAGAGATGTTTTGGCATGTAGATGCCAAGTTATCTAAAATTCCTAGAAACTGGTCGGTCTTTGCAAAACAATCAAAATCAAGATGTTTGCTGACCCCTTACTTAGTTATTTTATTCAGTTCATATACAAAGTATTTAGCTCGTAAAAGCAATGTTTAAGCAATGCGATAGCAATATTTAAACCAAAGCAGTAAGCACGATTTGATAAGCGGTGCATAAATTTGTAGTTAAGCATAAAATGATGAGAAAAATATAGAAATATGATACTTACTGGCCACTAAAGAAGGCTGTGACATTGAAACATCTACAGTATTTGATTGTTTCTCTAGTGATGGAGAAATTCCTTCTTCCTTATTGACTATTAGTTCTTCAGATGCATTCTGCTTAACACTTTCAGAATACACAGGACAAGATGCTGAATCAGTATTTAAAATTCTGTCTTCCACATTATAAGAATTTTCCTGAATGCCCTCGAATGGAGTACAGTCTTTTCCTTCTTCTAATGGAGAAAAGCTTTCTTCTTCTGATAACGAAGAATCTGCTTCTTTAATAGTGCTCAGTGAAGTTACTTTACTTCTGTTTTTAATATAATCAGTTCTAAAATGTTAAAAGTGGAAAGACAATCAGCTGCAATTACAATATAAAGCATTGAGATAACTTTGCAAAATCAGGTACATCTTAAATTTATGAACTTTGTTAAACAATTAATATTAATAGTTAAAATAGAATACATTACGGATGGCAATAACATGAAACAATCTAATCATTTTTAAAATAGCATATTTAAAATGATTAAAAAAAACAGCAATGATAGTCCTTTCAAATGAATTATAAAAAATTTAGTTAAAACCTATTGCTAGACAAAATGCGGCTTTGAACCTGTGTATACCAAGCATTTTTCTGTTTTTTTAATTGAAATCAACATATTAATAATTAATTACCCATAAAAATTATGAAAATGCATGTTAAATTTATATTTTACAATTTAACCTATTTGTAAATAAATAAAAAACAGCTCAATAAGGTAACAAGCAAAGTGCAGTACACATAGTTGTCAAATTTGAAAAAAATGGAGTTTATGGGAGGTTTACCAGCTGTGCAACAAGGCCCTTTCAAAAGAACTGCATACTGACTAAATTAATTTGATGCATGATTTTCAACACATGATTCAGATTATTGAACTATTTATAATGTAATTCTCATATGAAATATATTAATATTTAATTAGATATTCTAAGTTTTATGTTCCTTGGCTAATTTCATTTAGTATATTTTTTCTACATTTTAATACAGTGGAACCTCAAGATACGAGTTTAATTCGTTCCAACATTGAGCTCGTATAGTGAATTTCTTGTATCTAGAAACAACTTCCCCATTGAAAATAATGTAAATCCAGTTAATCCGTTGTGCATCCCCAAAAACATCAATTTTCAAATGAATAACACTGGTAAATAATATAACAGTAGTTTACTTTTATGATAGCTTCCAACACCGACCTTTTAACTGCTTCTTATTAGCCCATACCAACAGCTACTCAACATCTAGGAATTTTGGACGGTGCTTGGAAGTAACGGTAACTTCTTTGGCTACATCAAGTTTCCTAATTTCTTCTTCAAAATAGTGCAAATCGTCGATGTCGAAAGGCCATAAGTCTTCGCCAATTCCATCACTCATACACTATGATTGTTTATGAATTATTTCATTCTTAATTTCAATGGCCATGGCTTTCTTATTTTCTCTTGCAGCACTATCTGAGGCAATAATATTCTTGTGAGGCATCATGAAATAATTATTTTCATATTAAATATAATAAACAATTGACTCATAAGTGCACAAACACATAGATCAAAGAACACTGGGTGATCTGATGAGGGGATTTCCCGAGTTGAGCTGTATCGGAAAATGGCACTACGCATACCAACAGCCTGGCTCATTGCTCGAGTTAATGCTTGTATTTAGAGACAAATGTTTCGCTCATACTTTCCTCGTATCTTGTATATAGAGGTGCTCGTATCTCGAGGTTCCACTGTACAGAGAAAATCCTCAGCATGGAAGAATTTTATACATCAAATTACTTTTAAGAACAATTAAAATAAAATTTGTAATTAATATGTATATTGTTACGTGGATAAACTTAGAACAATTTATTGATGTGAAACAAAATTAAATACAAATATTAATTAGCTGCATATCAGTTGTACTTTCATTAACAGTCTTCTATAGTACATCAATTAAAATAAAATTTAATAAGAAAAATTATGCTGAAAATCAGCAGTGTTGAAAGAGTGGAATTTGCACAATTTAAGAGCCTTTAATTTAAAGAATTTTATTTATTGTTAGGAAACATTTGCCTTAGGAAAGGTTAAAAATGAAAAACTGGGAGATTTAGCAATCTATTGGAAGACCAGGAGATATGATGCAAAACTAGAAGAACTGGCAGCTATAAGCAGGGCTGTGGAGTCGGAATCAAGCAGATTTTGGGGTAAAAGGAGTCGGAGATGGAGTCGCTAAAACAGGCCAATTCCGACTCCAGTTTGAATTTGAAATGAAATTAAAATTAATTGAAAAAAATTAATGACAAGCTGAATTATTATTTTTATTTATGGACTATATACATTAATAAATAGTTATTTTCTATTTTATTGACATATTAATAAATAATTATAAGGGAGGAGGATGGATGTGATATTTGCCATTAGTGATTAAACTGATTCATTTAGTTACAAATTTCACTGGTAAATTTAGGTAAGCAGTAAGAACTCCCAAAATTGATGGCTTTCTTAGGAAGCGAGCAGGAAAAGGTGCAATTATTGATCAAGCAACGAGATAAGGAAGTACATATTTGATGATAAAGAGGTTGTTAGAATTAAGAACTTTTTAGAAGATGTAGATAACCCTAATGTTTCACTAACAGAAAGACTGTGGAATGATCTTGCAGAATCAGAAACTCTTCTTTCTACACCCTATATAGCCACAAAAAAGCTGCAATCTGAAGAATTGACAGGAGGCAAGAATGGAAGAATGGGATGTTTGTTCTTTCTGAAATGGAGGGTTTATTGCAGAAGAAATCATTTCTTCAATGAAGAAAACAGAAACTAGTTTGCTAGAAAATGAGATTTTGCTGGGTTCAATATACATATACGTAGATGCGAAACACTGAATTTTGTTGGATGGTGAACAAATTATAAAGGTAAAGAAAGCCATTTATGAACTTATAAAGCTAGACATTAAGAATGAAATTATTCTCAGAACAATTGGAGAATTTGAATCGGGACAGTCAAACTCAAGACATTTTAATTGAGTCTCTATCATCCTCTTCCAGTGACATACTTGCCAACCTATGACACTCAAAAATCAGGAGATTTTTTAAGAAATCAGGAGATTTTTCACAATGTTAAAAAGACTTTTTTAAATGATAAAAGTATAGTTTTTAATAATGAATTAACTTTAAATAGTTACTAAGTCTTAAATGCAAGCAAAACAAAAATACCTTAGACATAAAAACATTTTTATTACTTTCATCGTTTAATAATAATAATAATTAAAAAAAAAAAAAAAAAAAAAGGCACTTTAATCAGTTTTCATACAAATGTTATGGACAGTGGCAGATTTTGCTTTCGTTAAGAAAGAAACTTCATAATTTTGTTCATAGCAATTGCCACATAGGCCTGCTTTCGCTAATAAAAGTTTTTCTAATGTGTCATCACTAATATTAGATCTAAATTTAGTCCTCGTTTTCGCAACAACACTAAAAATCCTCTCACACGCCGCATTACTATGGGGAACTGTCAAGATGGCCAACATAATTCTAGAGAGTTCACTATATTTTAAAATTCCATCAGCACCTTTCAATATTCCAATTAACCTCCACTGGGTGTCAATCCTAGCTGATTTTATAACTTCATCCAAGTTTTCTAATTGTAAACTGCAAAATTGCGACTGCAGTATATCAGTAGCAACATCAATATCATCATCTTTCATGACTAAACGAAGTAACACAGGAAATCTGTTCAAAAAGTACCTTATATCAAAAAAAGATGCATTTGCTAGAGCAGAAACATCAGCAACTTTAGCATGCAAAATCACTTCATCGTTGACTCGAAATTTATGTAGTGTGTAATCACATACTCGACAGAAGTAACTTCTAACATGAAGATAAAACTTATTTTTGTCTGAAAGTTCTTCCACTACTTTTGTAGTTGCAGCTCCTATTACCAAATCTTCATCTTCCTTCTGATTTTCTGTTTCACCATAAATCACATCATATATACGAGGGCTACGAGGGGCTATGTGTATATGTTTACATATATATATATATGAGGGAGTCGGAGTCAGAGTCTTTAAAATTTCAGGAGTCATAGTAGGTCATTTTCCCCATCGACTCCACAGCCCTGGCTATAAATATATACTTGTTGCCTTAGGAAACAGACTAGCTCTTTGAGACAATACTGAATGAACAAAACTCTTTTCGGATTTAAAAAAAATTACATAAAATAACAATGGAAGATAGAAATGTGAGATTTTTATCATTATGCAATTATATTATTTTTTCACTTTGTTGATAGTATCAAGGAATACCTGGTAACAAAATAGTGTTAATGAAAGAAAAATGTGAACTGTATTTTGTAGCATCATCAAACTATAAGTTTTAAAGAAACTGGTATCATTGGAGCCATATCAAGAAGTAACAGGCTTACTGGCAGTGGCGAGATTGCTGTCTTTGCCCTCAATTCCAATAGTAGACATCAAAGACTGAGTCTATGTCACACCAGTTTATAATACTGCTACTTTGAAAGCTAGAATATATTCTGTATCCAGTGTTGAACATGCAGCAAGAACTGGAATGCTGACTTGACATTCTTCAAGCTACCTGGGATGTACCCATTGAAATTTAATAACATACTACTGTTCCAAATAATAATAGTAATAATAATAAACCAGTATTACTTCAGCTACCATTTAAAGTACATATATACATGTATGGAAATCAAACTGTAACCCTCCACCAGAGGACACAACTAACACCTGCGGTAGAAAGGCTCCAGGTAAACAGAGTCAGTTGCTTTTAGGAGAGTGAGAAAAGCAGTCTAACTGAATGCTTGCAAAGAGCAAATTACTTACAGATTATATGCAGGCAAACAGACCTGCTGCACACAGCTGGCCAGCTGTTATCATTTACCAATACATGAGAAAGTGGCTACATCGAAACTAATATTCTGATCACTCTTCTAAAACATACTCTTTCCATCTGTACAAACTCAACCAATTTACTTTTTCCTTTATGCTAATCCTGAAAAACCTAATACATGGAACCAATGACTGTAATGTCCGTATATGCTGTTACATCACCCCCACAAATCTAAAGACTCGGAGCCAGTGAACTTAAAAACTATTATTTTATGAACACTTTTTTTCAAGAACACTTTTAGTGCTACTTCCATTTTGTTTTCAAAATGAGTTTCTTAATTAATTCAAAGAAAAGTCATTTTATATATATTGCTGAAAAAAACTGGAGAGAATGCACCAAAAAATGCTAAGAAAGATGATATTAGAAAAACTACTGAAAATTTGGATGTTTTCAAAATAAATGCTGAATT